CTCCTACTCCTACTCCTACTCCGCCTCCTCCTCCTCCGCCTCCTCCTCGTCCCTCCCCTCCTCCTCCTCCTCCTCCTCCTCCTCCTCCTCCTCCTCCTCCTCCTCCTCCTCCTCCTCCTCCTCCTCCTCCCCCTGGGGCTCGGAGGTGTCGCCCCCGAGAGCGCGGGCCCCGAGACGGACCACGAGGCCCCCAGGATGGCCCAGGAGGCCCCAGGGAGAGCCCCAGAGCAGGCACAGTCGATCCGCATCATAAGGATGCGCGATATAAGGAGGCACAAGGGCCTTGGAAGGCCGTCTCGACACTGTGCGAGCGGGTCGCGGCCTGCGACATCGGCCAGGGACGGACCGAGGAGGCAAGGACGCAAGGGCAGCCTTGGGAAGGCTGCCCGTCCTGACAATGCGGGCTGACTGTAGTCCCATGAGGGGGCCCAAGGCGGCCTCAAGAGGGATCCCTCCCTTGCTGCAGGGGGTGCGCAGGATAGGTGCCGACTTACTGCTCCCCCGCTTTGCACCGCCAGGAATCGTCCACATCCACAGCTGGTGTTAAGTCGGGCCTGTCCCTCTGCAGGAGGAATACTCGAAAATAGTCAAAGAACAGTATGGGGACTATGTTCTCCATGTGTTTGGAAATGCTTCGAATACCTTTGGGGTATCTCAAGTTTTCGTCGAAAATCTGCATGTAGGAGCGAGCGAAATCTTTCCCGACTTCACCCTGGGAGGTCGCTGGGGCATTTTTTAACTAACTAGGGGAACGAGCTCTATACACCGACGCTTTTTTCGACCCTGCGCTGAATTTCGCACGGGGACGCGGATCCTGGTGTATACGGGATCCTGGTGTATACATGTTCTAACGAACATCGGCTATACGCCAGAGTGACCCTGGATAAGAGTGCCCTGTGGTGCGAGGCATCAGGGGGGCGGGGGGAGCCAAACCCAAGCGCGCAAGCCGCTGATATCGCAGCGCGTTCGGCGATTGGGGGACCAATGTGGGCCCGCACCAAAGGTCACTCCTGCGAAAGGTAATTCTTACGTCTAGCCGATAACAGCACATACCCGAAGAACTCCCACGCTGAGCGACCTCGCACGGCAGTTGTCAGCACCGACCGTTGTCAGCACCAGAGCGCCCTTAGCAGAGGTCGTGCGCTCTGGTGCCGACAGCGTCCAGGCGGTGGGACATGGACCAACGTCCGACGTGTTGACTTTTCCCATGCGGGATCCCCGGAGTCCCGGCCCTTTCCCCAGGGCTGTTTCTATGCCCCGCGGCGCTGCTGTTTGACAGCTCGGGAGCCCGCCGAGGGCCCCCACCGCCCGTCGTGGCCCTCCCGGGACGCCAGCATGCCTCGGGACGCGGACACGTCCTGGCGGTGGTGGCATAGAGGAACACGCCCACCCGGAACCGGCCCTTGACCCACATCCAGGCCGGGTTGCAGGTGCCGCCCGCGCAGCCGCCCGGCAGCAGACCAGCCGCCGCGCGCGCGCGGAAGTCCGCGAGCTCTGGCGGCAGCTCGTCGCGCGCCGCGACCGACAGGAGGTCGCCGTGCGAGCTCGTCGCCGCGTAGCTCTCGGAGACGCCGGAGCCCAGGCCCCACCTCTGGAACAAGGAAAAGCACAAAGGAACACCAAGCTTTCGGAGGTCCTCGCGCATCACTCGCACCGGCACTGGACCGTCTCCCTAGCGCGGAGCGCTCCAGAGGCGGCGACAGAGGCGCCGCCAGGGTGGCCAGCGCCGGTCCAGGAAATCCGCGCGGACCTCTGGAAACTTCTGTGCAATAAGACGAGGCCAGGACGGTGGAAAATCTGAGCGGGCCAAATCCGGCTTCTCTGAGATCTGGCGGCTCTTGAAAAGCTATGTCGGTGGCCGCGGCCGTTCTGGAGCGCTCTATGGAACGCTCTCAGGGCGTTCTGGACCGCTCTGGAAAGATCTGTCCCAGTCCTAGCCCTCGCCTGATGCGTGCCGCTCTTTGGCCTGCGAGCCTCGTGCCCCCGTCCGTCACATTCGCGTGGACGCGGGCCAGCGCCGCTGAGGACTGGGCTCCCGTCTCCAGCGTGGCGTTGCGCACCTGCAGCCAGTCGTCCGTGCCCGGGTACCTGGCGAGGGGCAGGAGGAGGAAGGGGCAAGCCTTAGGTCGGGCATGTCCTGCGACAGATGGATTAGGAAAGAACAAACGAAAAATAGCCACGACAATACAAGAATACAAGAACATTGAGGGGGGGAAACAACAACAACAACAACAACAACAACAACAACAACAACAACAACAACAACAACAACAACAACAACAACAACAACAACAACAACAACAACAACAACAACAACAACAACAACAACAACAACAACAACAACAACAACAACAACAACAACAAAAAAAAAAAAAAAAAAAAAAAAAAAACGATGCCATTCTGGTCCGCAAAAATAGCCCGAATAATCAAGGAAATCGCAAGAAAAGAAGCCATCTTGGTCCACAAAAACCATCACGAATCACAGAAAAATCGTCCCCTGATTGGGAAGTCTTGGCCTCTCAGTACGGCCGCCACCGACGTCGGGAGAACAGCTGCACGGCGCTGGCCCAGGCCCTCGAGCCCCCTGGCCTCGCCGGCGAGCCCCACCAGAGAATTCACCAAAAAAGGACCCCTCGAACCCCCCTTGGGAGGAGGAGGAGGAGGAGGAGGAGGAGGAGGAGGAGAAGGAGGAGGAGGAGGAGGAGGGAGGAGGAGGAGGAGGAGGAGGAGGAGTTCTTGAAGACTGTTTTTTGGCGATTCTGGAACGTTCCTCCTGTAGAGAGGGAGACCTGCCAGGCTGACGGCACGCGGGGCGGGCTCGCGCCAGATCCCCGCGCACGACCGCGTCGTGAGCGGACCGCGGCGGAAGGCTTTGGGCCGCCCGCGGACTCTTCGGCGGCCCTCGCCGGGCTCCGGCCGTCGAAAAATATACAGTCGGCCTTGACTGGACAGGACACGCGAGAGGACTCAAGACCCCTCCGAGGGCCACGCTGCCGTGGGGGATGTGGGAGGCATGGGTCGCGAGGCACAGGGCACAAGGGTACCCTAAGGGTGCCCTTGATTTGGCAGGGTCGACCTACTAGTCAGCGCCGACTGTAGGAGTTGGGAGGAGCAACCACCGGCCCTGGGGAAGGGGTCGGGACGTCTAGGAGGGGGTGGGTTGGGGGGAAGGGCACATTGCAACAAAAAAAAAACGTCGCACGTCTGGGTTTATGTTGCTCCCATCGTATTTAAGGACCACATCCCAGAAATAACTTCGAGCACCCGGAAAAGTGTCGAAAGAGTGTCGAAACAGTCGCCGGTGTCGGACGAGTGTCTCCCAGGGCCCGGCACGTGAAAACCCTCGGGCCTCGGTACCTTTTTGGTGCTCGAAATTATCTCTGGTGGTCAAGGCGAAAGTAGGTTGGAACATCAAGGAGGAGGAGGAGCAGGAGGAAGAGGAGGAGGAGGAGGAGGAGGAGGAGAAGGGAGAGGGGAAACAAGAGCAGGAGGAGGAATAGGAATAGGAGGAGGAGGAGGAGGAGCAGAAGGAGGAGGAGGAGGGGGACTTCCCATGGCGGCGAACGCTGCTGCGTCCGCCGACTGGGGGTGTCTCCTGGGAGACCTCTGGGTTCCCCTGCGTGGCCCTCGCCAGCGATCTGCAAACGGGGGAGGGGGGGGGCTTGTGCTCTGGTCGAGGAGGCGGCAGATAAGAAGGAAGAAGAGGACGGAGGACGAGCAAGGAGGAGGAGGAAGGAGGAAGGAGGAGGAGACGAAGTAGCAGCAGCAGAAGCAGGAGGAGCAGAAAGGGTAGGGGGAGCAGGTGGAGTAGGAGGGCTGGCGGGAGGCGATGGAGGAAAAGAGAGGGAGGCGGCAGAGAGGAGGAAGGAATCAGATCCAGAAGTGTTACCGCGCTGGGCCGAGAGCGCTAGTCTGAACAACGGGGGCAAGTATCGATCCTGAAATGTGGCCAGCGCTAAGCCGTGGAAAAATATGTGGTAAAGGCACACCCAAGACGCACCAACGATGTTGCAATAAACCCTCCCAAGAAATTCCCTCTTCAGATGGCCGTACAAGAAATTAGCTGCAACCGTCTGAGAATCCTCAGTCGCACCAAAATACAATTCCTTGATTTTCAGCCGCGCGGATCAACGTGACTGTCGCGCCCTGACATCCACCACAGACTGTGTCAGAATACCGTTCATGGGACTTCGGCACCGCAAAGCAACATGACTGTTGCGCCCCGACATCCCGAAATCTTGCCAGAACACCTGTCCTGGAACTTCGACTACGCGCACCCTTGACACAGTTTCAAACGTTGGAAACGAATGCGCGCGGCGCTAAGGTCAAAGCCATATTTTGGAAGAACAAAAAAGCGCCCTTCGTCATCGGAACTTCTGCAAACGTTTAAATCGGATGAGCGCGCGCTAAGACCACATTTTGAAAATGGCCCGCCACACTGAATCCGTCAAAACGGTTGCAAAGTTCAAGCTTCAAGATCATCAATGGTGAGGGAAACTCAAGCGAAACGCCCGGCCCGCTCTACCGACACGTGCGGGGACGCGACAGGGAGGATTTATGTATAAAAAAGGAGGATGGCGGAGGAGAGGACACCAGGGGCGAGGTCAGGAGGAAGACAAGGAGCAGCAGCAGCAGCAGCAGCAGCAGCAGGCAACATGATAGGGCTGTCTGAACGCTCGTAACAATATAAAGAGACGAGGGGAAGCCAGTCGAATGCCAAACCGCCTCGATCTGCGCAGCCTCGCTTGCTAACCCACGGGGGGCCCTAGAAAATCTTTGCAGCTGAGCGAAACCACGGACACCAGAGAGTATCCACGAGCCCTGCCCTGGAGCCCGCCAGCCCCGGTGCGGTCGACACGACTAGGTAGTAGGTCACCCACCGGGGGCGCAAGGGGGGCCTGGCAATCTGGGCCATCGCGGGGGCCTTGGCAAGAAACACGTTTCGTCGGCGGCGAGGCAGAGGCAGTCCGCTCCAGCGCGAGGCCAGTCGGGGCAACCGAAGGGCGAGTTAGGCGGCGAGCCAGAGGAGGAGAAGGACGAGGGCGGCCGCGCGGAGGGAGGGGGAGGGACGAGCACTCAGGCGTGGAACTTAGCAGGAAGACGCGCTCCTCAATCCCCCTCGCACACGCCCGTCACCGCACAGCCTGGGCACCCTGGAGGCCCCGGTCGCCCAGAGACATCCTCGGAGAACGACCCGAGTCCCAAAACCGCGCCGTGTCCACAGGTCGCCGCTGACTCACCACACGGTGTGGTCACCGCACCGTTCGGAGGGCCCCGAATGATAGGGAGGGGACCGAGCAAAAGAGCGGTCGAGAGTCGAGAGCACCAGAGAAGGAAGGAGGAAGGGGAACGGACGAAAGAACGGCCAACGATAGGGAGGGGGCTACACGAAAGACCAACATGTCCGGGTACCGGACGAAGGAGCGGCCGAGGCGGCCCCACCGGGCGGCGTGGTAGCTGTCCTCGGAGTAATGCTCCACGAACGAGCCCAACGTGTTCAGCAGCGGGCCCACCGGAGCGACCTCCACCTTGGCCAGCAGCACCCAGCCGCCCAGCTCCGCGGCGTGGAAGTACCCCTCGTAACGGACCCTGCCGCTCCCTGCGTCGGCCGCTCCCACCGGAGGGGGCCCAGTCGAGACCGCGGCGGCCCTCGTCGTCGTCGTCGTCGTCGTCGTCGTCGCGTTGTCTTATTCGGCGTTTCGACCTTGGTTTGGTTGACCCAAAGTGGGTCCAGCTGAAAGGGGGTAGTGCAACAGGTTTGGGACAATTGTATTGCACATGTATTGCGCCAGAGAACTGTCTTGCATTGTATTGCAACTAAGGCATTGCACGCGGAAACCCAGCAATACAACTGCGCACCGGAATGTACTGCACGCCCCAAATCATTTGCAACCCTACAAATTCATTGCACCGAATCTATTGCACCAACCCCTTGTCGCTGGACCCCCTTTTGGGTCAACCCGACTTGGGCGGAAGGCGGGGGGGGGAGGGGGGGGGATCTGACTCCAGACCTCTGCTTCTAATGCCACCGTGTCTGCAGCAGCGCGCCCCGTGTGCGGGGGGGAAGGCTCCACCTCTGCCTGAAACAGGCGCCACCAAAAGCAGCCGAGATCCACTCCCTGGGGGGGGGGAGGGGTGCGAGGGCCCGCGCCGATCGGCCAGACAAGTGTGATAAAGAAACTGTGATGGAAAAAACTGGTGTGATAAAAAGACAAGTGCGATAATAAAAAACAAGTGTGATTAAAAACAAGTGCGACAAGAAAAACACAAATGTTTGTTTTATCACACTCGTTCGGAACAAGAGAAAACTCGGCGGTGGACAAACCTCCCTTTAGTTAACCTCCCCTTAGTGAAGACGGCCCAGGACCGAAACCGACGGACCTGGACCCGCAAAGATGACGGCCGCGACGCCCTCTCGCGAACCTAGAACGGCCAGTTCCTGAATCGACGTGTCAGGGTAGGAAGTCTATCCACCTCCGAAAAACGATCGCCCGGACTCGAAAATCGGCCAAAGATTTCGAGGTATGTTCTGCGTTCGTCGTTGCCCCCTAGGCTAAAACCGACCCCGAAATCTCCCTCCCCAAAATCTCGAAAAACCTGCGCTCTACTCTGGCACTCGCATTTTCGGGATTGGGCGTCTATTTTGACTTGGTGATGCTCGGAACGAGAGATCACGAGCGCCCAGACAGGGGCAGTCGCGGTCGTCCAAGCCGGGCCCTCCTCCGGGCTCAGGGCCCAGTGGTAGGTGCTCTCGGTGGTCCACTCGCTGAAGTAGCGCTCGGCCTGGCTGCCGACGCCCTCGCCCCCGAAGCGGCGGCACACGACGTCCTCGGGGGAACCACAGGGGTTAAGTCGGCCGTGTCCCTCTACAGGGGCAATATTCCAAAATAGTCAGAAAATAGCCTGGGGACGATTCTGTTGACCATTTTGGGCTACGTTTGATGCTTGGACAATGTTTGAATATTTGTTGTATGTGTTTGGGGTATCTTTTATTGTTAAGTCGGGCGTTTCCCTCTAAAGGAGGAATACAGTGCGGGCGCGAACGCAAGAAACCCACGCAAGAAACCCGGCCCTGAAAGCCCGCGCGCGAAGTGCACCGGAGGGGAAAACCGGAGCACCCTGAACGCAGCCGCTCATTCAACGGCTGCGGGAAGTCACAGCGCAGCGCGCGGAGCAAAGAAACCCAGGATACCCTGACGAAAAACAGATGGTTTCTTGATGCGCGCCCCCAGTGTATTCGTCCAGAATCCGCCTGTAGGGGGACACGCCCGACCTAACACAAGGGGGGGGGGGGGGGGCAGCTCAGGGGGGAAGCATCGAGCTGGGAATCGGCGACGCATCGACGATAGAAAGGCGAGGGGCCCCCGATGGCGAGACCACACGTTACTGTGGGCGGGGCGGGCTATCGGGCATCCATCGGCGAGGAACGGGCGCTTGGGGGGTCCACGTTTTCCCCCGCCGGGCCAATCTCCGCCCCTGTCGCCACCCCTGACGTCCTGTGGGGCGCAGAGACAAACTTCTACTACATGTCCTCCTTGGAGGCGCGCGTCCGACCCGAACATATAGTTTCCGCATCTTGTATGAGTATCTTTTGTCCGATGCCCATCCCCAGCGGCGTGGCCTGGGCCCCACTGGCCGATGTACCCCCCTAGATGGGGACATAGGCCGTCCCCTTCGGGTCTCGAGGGGTGCATCCCCAACTGGGGTGGCAATTTGGTGGGGGTCTCGAAGGGGACGAGGATAGGGATGGGGGAGTTATAGGGGGAGGGATCGGAGGGATGACGTCCACGGCAGGTAAGCGACCGTCTGTCTTTATCACCTCCTTTGATGCCCTCCTCTTCCTCCTCTCCTCTGTTCATGATGCCCTCCCCTATGTATCTCCTCTCCTCTGTGCTCGTCCTGCTGCTCTGCCCTTCGTCTCACCTCTTCCCTCGTGCGCCCCCCCTCCCCCAACAATGCGGGGGAGGGGCAGGAAAGGGTTGCATGGCCTCGGGAGCACCCTTCAAGCGCCATGAGCGAGTCGTGGGGCTGGGGGTCGGATCAACGATGCGGATCGCAGGCCTCCGTCCCCCGAGCGGCGTGGCCGGAGAGCGCGCCCGCCACGACGCACCTCGTGCGCGCTCTCTCGCGGTTTCTTCGCGCCGCCCCTGGGCGGGCGACGCGCACGTCGTGGTAGTCTGCTGGGGCGGCGCTGAAGCCGGGCGTGTCCCCCTACAGACGGATTTGGGGCGACAGATATGGAGATACTCCCAAAATACCCCGAAATAGCCAAACCAAAAATACCCAAGACATCGTCCACCGACTATTTCTGCTATTCTTGAATTATTCCTCCTGTAGAGGGACCTGCCCGACTCAAACGTAGAATTCTCGGGGGCGCGCAGACATGGATTTGCAATCCATGGATTTGGCGCGCGGTCGCCAAATCCATGGATCGGGGGAGGTGCCCTCTCCAGAACGTGGCCGGTGCCGCCTCGCTCGGCGGCGAAATCCGCGATCTCCCATGGAAACGGACCCGTCGCTAATCCACGCTCCCTTGATCCATGTTTGCGATCGCCTGATATTGACTACCTACCAGACCACCCCAACCCAACCCGAAGACCCGAATTTCGGATTGGGGGGGGTCAGGGTTCCACATGTGCTTTTTCGATGCTTCCCGACCCCCCGCCCCACTGGAAATCGACGGTAAATCTGAGCCTTCGGGCTGGGTTGGGGTGGTTTGGTGGGCGGTGAGGCCTTACTTGTGGACGCCTGAAATGGGTACGGAAAAGTGGGCACAATGCCCAACAGCAAGTGCTGTCCCAAACCCAAAGCGGCCGCTATTGGGCAGGCGGCCTTCCGTCTTAAATGGACACAGGCCGCGGCGGCGCTGGCGGGGACAGCGAGTCCTGTCTTTTGGGGTGACGCCTTCTGAGGGGGATGGTGGGGCTCACTTCGTCCGAGAGCTCCCGAGCGAAGTGAACCCCACCCGCCCCCTCAGAAATCGTGGGGGGCAGGGGTAGGGTTCGCATGTGGCCCCCTACTTACCCGTCGGTCGGAAGAAGTAGGTAAAAACATGAAGTAGGAAGGCGGATAGAGTGGATTGGGTCCAGGCCCTCCCAGAGAATAACAGAACACAGCAACAGCGTGTCGATTCTTGAAGTAGGAAGGCGCTTGAAGTAGAATGGGATCTGGGAGTCCAAAAATACCATACTGGGGTGGCGCCGATCCTGCCCGCACTCCAGCAGCCTCCCCCGGCGGCTCTCTGGGCACTCGTCCGGGTCCATCGCGTCCAGGCACTCCGTGTCCCAGACGGGCCGGGCGACGGCGGGAGCGCCCCGGCCCAGGGCGAAGTCGGGCGTTTTTTACTAAACATTTATGTATATATATATATATATAAAAACCAAAAAAATGTTTGAAACATATTTTACACAAACCATCTGGGAGCGGGTTTTTGACTAACGATGACAGTGTTCGACGATTGCTCGACTATTTTGTGTTGTTCGTCCAGGATCCACATGTAGTGGGACATGCCCGACCTAAGCCCAGGGTGAACCCCAGCTCCGGGGGCCGCCTTCGGCTCCTCGGCGGGGGGGGGCCCGCTCCAGGCCTCGCTGGGGGCCGCCTGGAGCTGCCAGGAACTCCCCAGAAGCCCCAGGGACATCGTCGTCGTCGTCGTGGTGGTCGTCGTCTTTTTCGTCGTCGTCGTCGTCGACGTCGTCGTCGTCGTCGTGGTCGACGAAGAAGACGACGACATGAGCCAGGACCACTTCTGTCGACACCCAGATGGAGAAGAGGACGGAGCCCTCGAACCAGTCGAAGAGGAACCACCTGTGCGCGCTCTGGACGAGACCAGAGTAGCCAGTCGCGTGCGTCGTCACCGCGAAGTACGTGTCTTCTGTGGAGTGCATGGGCGTCAGCGCGTGGTACCACTCCGCGACTGCGGGCTCCCCCGGCAGCTGGTACCTCCCCTCCGTTCAGCCTTTGAGTTTACGCACCCATTGATCACACGGCGTGAGACCAGCAGCAGATAGAGCAGAGCGGTGCAAGGTGGAGAAAACAAAACTTGGGGGCGCCACAGTCTCTTGCTCCCTCCCCTACCGTCTGCCTCTCCCTATCCTCCTCCTGCTCGTGTCGCTCCTCCTGACACGCCTCAGCATGCCACTCATTGTCCTCCTCATGCTAGTCATCCTAGTTCTCGTCCTTCTCCTCCTCCTCCTCCTCCTCCTCCCCCTCCTTCCCCTCCTCCTCCTCCTCCTCCTCCTTCTCCTCTTCATCACCACCATCAGCATCATCACCACCACCACCACCATCATCAGAATCATAATCATCACCATCATCACCAACATCAGCTACAATCATCATCATCATCATCATCACCACCACCACCATCATCATCATCATCATCATCATCATCAGCAGCATCATCATCATCATGCCCGACAACAGCAGAAATACAAATGATACTAAGAATCATACGAATACGAACAACAGCAGCAGCAACAATAACAACGATTCCAACAACGACAGTAACAACAGCAGCCATCATCATCATCAGCATCATCATCATCAGCAGCAGCATCATCATCAGCATCATCATCGTCATTAGCATCATCATCATCACCACCATCATCTTCACAGTCACCATCACCCTTATGACCAGCAACGACTACAAGAACAGCAACACTGACAACAACAGCAGCAACAACAACAACAACAACAACAACAACAACAACAACAACAACAACGACAACGACAACGACAACGACAATGGCAACAACAGCAACAATGACAGCAACAACAGCAACAGCCACAGCAACAGCAACAGCAACAACAACCACACCAACAACATCAGCATCACCATCATCACCATCACCATCACTACCTCAATCATAATCACCATCGTCATCATCATCACCATCATCATCAGCATCAGCATCGTCAGTCTCATCCTCCTGCTCATCCTCTTCCTCCTCCTCCTCCTCCTCCCGCCCCACCTCACTGTCACCGAAACCATCACCATCACCATCAACATGAAAACCAGAATCACCATACCATCTTCATGATATTTGCCGTCGTCGCCGCCGTCACCCTCACCATCACCCAAACAAAGATCAGAGCCGCCATCACGACTATGACCATCACAATTGTCATCGTCATCGTCGCCGTTGTCGTCGATGTCGCATCAATGACAATAACGGGTTAGCCAGCGAGGACCACAAAACGTAAGTTTTACACTGAAAGTGTCTGTTGAAAGCTATGTGGCGTAAGCTGTCTACTGCATTTGCTCAATGTTCACTGGTGAGTCACAACCCTCGGCCACGATTGCGGTGACTCCATGGCAGGGGCTGGCGCATCTCTGCAGCAGCGCTGGCGCGCGCAAACTCGCGCGCAGAGCACACTGGCTTGGCACAACCAACGCGGCCGCGATGGAACTTGGCGAAGGCATTTCCCCACCGCGCCTCAAAGGCCGCGCTGGCGCGCGGGCATTTCAATGCGGGTCGGTGACTCGGGCGGACGCGGTATTCGGATGACGTCGACAACGACGACAACGATGATGACGATGACGACGGCAGGGCCAATGATGGCACCGATGCTGGTGACAACGACGAAGATGATGATGTCCATGCGTCGGTGATGAAGGTGTTTGGGCGATGATAGAGACAATGGCGGCGGTCGTCGATGACAATGACGTAATGCGGCGGCACTGATGATGGTGATGGTGAGGAAGTGCGCGCGCGCGGAAATTCAAGAAACCTGGCAGACCAGAAACCAGGCAGGCTTGCCTTTGATTTGTGTTCAATGAGCTCCGTCTTGAAATGCGTCGAAAACCAAGGATCTCGACACGCGGG